ATTATTTTAATAAGAAACTTTTGCTTACAAAAACAAGGTGTGAAAAGTCAAGATTCACAAAAATCGTAAAAACATGATTTATATTTCACACTTGAGAGACAAAAACAAGCCCCAAACATGGGAAAAAAAAAAAAAAAAAGGTCAGCCTGGCCAACACAGTGAAACCCTGTCTCTACTAAAAATACGAAAATTAGCTGGGCCTGGTGGCGGGCGCCTGTAATCCCAGCTATTCAGGAGGCTGAGGCAAGAGAATCGCTTGACCCGGGAGGCAGAGGGTGCAGTGAGCCAAGATTGCAGCTTTGCACTCCAGTCTGCGCAACAAGAGCAAAACTCAGTCTCACCAAAAAAAGACAAAAAAAGGAAAAAAAAGTGGTCAAGGAAGGACCTCCCTAATGAAGTAACATGAGCTGACACCTAAATGAAGGGACACATCCAACCCAGTGCTGATCTTCAGGAGGGCATAGCAAACGCAAAGCTCCTGAGGCCTGCTTGGCACAGTCTTAATGGCAGTGGCCATATGGGGCCTTGGGAGGCCATGGGATAAATGCTTTGGGTTTTATTCAAAGTGTGATGAGAAGCCACTTGGAAGCTTTTGAGTGGGGAAGCGACATGACGTACATTTTGAAAGGACTATTCGTCTGTTGTGTGGCCATAGACTGTGGTTGGGTTTGAGGGGTGAATGGAACAGTATAAAAAATAAATTTATGGGCCGGGCACGGTGGCTCATGCCTGTAATCCCAGCACGTTGGGAGGCCGAGGCGGGCGGATCACAAGGTCCGGAGCTCAAGACCAGCCTAGCCAACATGGCAAAACCCAGTCTCTACTAAAAATACAAAAATTAGCTGGGCGTGGTGACAGTTGCCTGTAATCCCAGCTACTGGGAGGCTGAGGCAAGAGAATCACTTGAACCCAGGAGGCGGAGGTTGCAGTGACCTGAGATCGTGCCATTGCACTCCAGCCTGGGCGATAAGAGCAAGACTCCATCTCAAAAAAAAAAAAAAAAAAATGTATGGCCAGGTACAGTGGCACATGCCTGAAATCAGTGAGCCGAGATCCCACCATTGCACTCCACACTGGGCAACAAGAGTGAAACTCTATCTCAAAACATTAATAAATAAATGTATATATTTACATAGTGGTATATAGAGCCATAGATATAGCACTGGTTTCTCATAGGGCAAATAAAGGGACTGAATTTAGGGAGGGATTTCCAAGATACTAGTCATCCCCCATTAAGCTGGGCGGTGACTACTTGGTGTGCATTTATTATTTCATAAACTGTACATACATGTTATATTCAGATAGCTCTATATCCCACAATGTAAATATATACATTTATTTTTATATAAATATAAATCTGTGAATACCTCTACATACATAGAACTATTTTGGAAGGGAGAACCATCAGGATATGCTGCTGGATTCCATGAGTACTTGGAGTCAGACTAGATAAGAACAAGTTCAAGCCTCTGATTTTACCCAAGTCCTAACCAAAGCAACAGTGCAATGAGACGGAGGGAAAGACTGGAGGCACAGAGGGACAGGAAGCCACAGCATCTGCACGGACAGCAGCTGCTGACACAGTGGCCCCTGAGGTCAGGCCAGAAGAAAGGGAAAGTGGTGATTCCAACTGCAGACTCAGCCAGGTCCCCTGAGTCCATCAGGTCCAAAGGGTTGCTTGAGGATTTCTTTTTCTGGCCTCCATAGTGTGGTTGCATCAACACTCCCCACATGCCCATGGGGCTGTGGATATTGAGTGGGTGCCAGTTACTAAGTACAAGATGTGCCAGAGTTGATGTCTCAAGGTTGAGCTTCCCCACCTCCTCTCCAGCCCCGCAGAGGAGAAAATACGACCACACAACTTGAAATCCTCAACAGGAATAAAGATAAGAAAATGATGGAACCGGCTGCGTGCGGTGGCTCACGCCTGTAATCCCAGTGCTTTGGGAGGCGAGCCTGGCAGATCACATGAGTTCAAGACCAGACTGGGCAACATGGCAAAACCTCATCTCTACTAAAAAATACAAAAATCAGCCAGGTGTGGTGGCGGGCGCCTGTAATCCCAGCTACTCAAGAAGCAGAGGCAGGATAATCGCTTGAACCCAGGAAGCAGTTGCAGTGAGCCAAGATCGTGCACTTGCACTTAGCCTGGGCAACAAAACTGAAACTCTGTCTCAAAAAAAAAAAAAAAAAAAAAAAGATCCATACGTATTAGAAAAACATAAAGACAAACAAATAAATGCTTAACCATATTCAGGGAAATGATTTCTTCTAGGGCAAATAAAAGAGCTGAATTTAGGGAGGGATTTCCAAGAGACTTAATAGGTCATGCCCTATTAAGCGGTATGGTGAGTACATGGTCCACATTTATTATTCTGTAAACTGCACATGTATGTTATATTCAGTCTTTTTGTATGCTTTGTTCATCTCACAATTTAAAACAATAGGCCAGGCGCAGTGGCTCATGCCTGTAATCCCAACACTTTGGAAGGCCGAGGCAGGCAGATCACTTGAGGTCAGGAGTTCGAGACCAGCCTGGCCAATATGGTGAAACCTCATCTCTACTAAAAATGCAAAAATTAGTGGAGTGTGGTGGCGGATGCCTGTAATCCCAGCTACTCAGGAGGCTGAGGCAGGAGAATTGCTTGACCCCAAGACACAGAGGCTGCAGTGAGCCAAGATCGCATGCCACTGCACTCCATCCTGGGCAACAAAGCGAGACTCTATCTCAAAAAAAAAAAAAAAGTAAAAATAAAAATAAAACAATTAATAAAAGCAGGGACCCAAGACTCTGGGTGAGTCTTACTTCACTAAACCTACGGTGAAAAATTGTAAACTAAGGCCAGGCGCGGTGGCTCAAGCCTGTAATCCCAGCACTTTGGGAGGCCGAGACGGGCGGATCACAAGGTCAGGAGATCGAGACCATCCTGGCTAACACAGTGAAACCCCGTCTCTACTAAAAAATACAAAAAACTAGCCGGGCGAGGTGGCGGGCGCCTGTAGTCCCAGCTACTGGGGAGGCTGAGGCAGGAGAATGGCGTAAACCCGGGAGGCGGATCTTGCAGTGAGCTGAGAGCTGGCCACTGCACTCCAGCCTGGGCGACAGAGCGAGACTCCGTCTCAAAAAAAAAAAAAAAAAGAAAAATTGTAAACTAAAGTCCTCCAACATGGGAATGGCAAAGTATAGTATAATCCATACTGTACAATACTATGCACATCCACTAAAAACAATAACATTCACTTACAAACATCACAGTTCTCAAAGAGATTTTTTTTTAATAGAGATAGGGGGCTGGGTGCAGTGGCTCACCCCTGTAATCCCAGCACTTTGGGAGGCTGAGGCAGGAGGATTGCTTGAGCCCAGGAGTTCAAGACAAGCCTGGGCAACATAGTGGGACTTTGTCTCAATAAAAAATAAAAAATTAGCCAGGTGTAGTGACATGTGCCTGTGGTCCTAGCTACTCAGGAGGCTGAGGTGGGAGGATCACTTGAGCCCAGGAGATGGAGGCTGCAGTGAGCTATGATTATGCCAATGCACTCCAGCCTGGGTGACACAGCAAGACCCTGTCTCGAAAAATATATAAATACATAAATAGAGACAGGGTCTCCCTATGTTGTCCAGAATGGTCTCAAACTCCTGGGCTCAAGTGATCCTCCTGCCTCAACCTCCCAAAGTGCTGGGATTACAAGTATGAGCCACCATGCCCAGCCTCAAAGAGACTGTTGAAGAAGATAGAATAAATTGCAGAATGACATGTACAGTTGTAGAAAAATACATACAAGAAAACATTTGTGTTTGACAATTTCTCTGTTGACATATATATATATATATATATATATATATTTTTTTTTTTTTTCTTCTTCTTCTTTTTTTTAAGAGATGCGGTCTTGCTCTGTCACCCAGGCTGGAGTGCAATGGCATGATCTCGGCTCACTGCAAGCTCTATCTCCCAGGTTCATGCCATTCTCCTGCTTCAGTCTCCCGAGTAGCTGGGACTACAGGTGCCCACCACCACGCCTGGCTAATTTTTGTATTTTTAGTAGAGACGGGGTTTCACTGTGTTAGCCAGGATGGTCTCGATCTCCTGACCTCGTGATTCGACAGCCTCAGCCTCCCAAAGTGCTGGGATTACAGGCGTGAGCCACCGCGCCCGGCCTAACATATATATATTTTTTCTATACATTAATGTATATGTGTAGAAAAAGAACTGGAAAGGGCTGGGCATGGTGGCTCAGGTCTGTAATCCCAGCACTTTGGGAGGCCAAGGTGGGAGGTCAGGAGTTCAAGACCAGCCTGGTCAACATGGCAAAACCCCATCTCTACTAAAAACACAAAAATTAGCTGGATGTGGTAGTACACACCTGTATTCCCAGCTACTCAGGAGGCTGAGGCAGAAGAATCACTTTTACCTGTGAGGTGGAGGTTGCAGTGAGCTGAGATCACACCACTGCATTGCAGCCTGGGCGACAGAGTGAGACTCCATCTCAAAAAAAAAAAAAGTATATTATCTTTTATGTCAGAAAAAATTCAGATGATTGTATTCTTATTCATTGCATCTAAATCAAGAAGATTAAGTCATAAAATGCCATTTTCTGTAAGTTGGTAAATCTTGAAAATTCTGCTAAATCACTGAATTGATTATTTGGCAAATTGACTTTCAATGAATTGATTTTCGATGAATCGGCCCACTTCTGCTGGGATCACCTGACCCTGACTCAGCCAGTCAACAATAATTAAATGTTCCTCCCCCTCCAACCCCAGGCACTGTAAACATGATCTTGTTTTGCTTCTTTCAAGTGCAAGGCCAAATCATCCTGATTATTCATTTCAATGAAATTAATACAATGAAATTCCATGAAAGCAGGGACCTTTCTCCTTGTATTCACATGTGGCAGGCATGCAATAGATATTTGTTACATGAATGCATCTTATGCTACAGCTCACAGATATCTGCCACTGAGGGCTCATAGGAAATACTAGGAAGACACAGCTATATTTCTGTTACTCTCTGTATGACACCCTGTAATTCAACATCACCAACAACCAGGCGATATACCCTAAGAGGGGGTTTAGGCAGTACTAAAACTTATTAGCCTAAAGCTAATAGTGAAACAAAGGATCTCCCTAAACAGAAACCTCATTTAATCCCAAAAAGACTCAGACCAGTCAAACAAGTCATCTGAAGCTTGCTACGCTCTGCTCTCTTGCTTCTAATAGGGCAAGAAAAGGTGACTAGATGAGGTGACACTCCATCCTCTGGCTTCTTTCTCCTCTTATTTAAGTGTGAAGTTCTCTCTCCAGTAGCCAGGCTTCCGGGGAAAAGGATCCTGAAAAATACAACGTCCCTAGTGTATTCATCTGGCACATACGGTGAAGGGAGCGGGGATAGATGTTGTAATAAGATGCAAAGAAATCTTACTTGCGCGCACACACAAATGTCCCTTTCCTTTTTTGTACCACCTCTTATGCAGATAAAGGCCTCGAGAAGGCTGCTCCTAGATTAGCTGTCTTTCCCCCGTCCCCATGTCATAGCACGTGGTTACAATTCAGAGGAGGGCCCAGATTCTCCACTCCATCACCCCACTGCACTTTCATCATCTGAAATGAAGCCCTTTACGTGCCTCCAAGAGCAAACGCCCTAACAGCCGGGCTTGGGTTCCCGTGGTTCCCTTGGGGGTTCCCCAGCGCCTAGCACGAGGCGGGGCACTCTAGAGCACCAGCTCCAGAAACATTTCCAAAAAGACTGAAGGTGTTAAGGCTGCAGAATTTGCAGGTCTCTTCTGTCTATACTGTAAGTCGATATTGCGCATTTCTTTTGGACATTTTGGGCATTTTAAGCCTTTATTTTATTAGCCTTCCTTTATTTTATTTGTTTTCATGATTCGTTTAGTGGTGTTCCTTTTTAATTTTTAAATTGATTGATTTATTCTTTTTTTTTTTTTTTTTTTTGAGAGGGAGTCTCGCTCTGTCAACCAGGCTGGAGTGCAGTGGCCGGATCTCAGCTCACTGCAAGCTCCGCCTCCCGGGTTCACGCCATTCTCCTGCCTCAGCCTCCGGAGTAGCTGGGACTACAGGCGCCCGCCACCTCGCCCGGCTAGTTTTTTTGTATTTTTTTAGTAGAGACGGGGTTTCACTATGTTAGCCAGGATGGTCTCGATCTCCTGACCTTGTGATCCGCCCGTCTCGGCCTCCCAAAGTGCTGGGATTACAGGCTTGAGCCACCGCGCCCGGCTGATTTATTCTTTAGGGTGTCACGCAACAGTCTGAATTTGCAGGAGGGGTCCTTAGTAGTAGGTGAAGACTCCTGGCAAAGCTGCCCGGCCTCGCTCGGTTCTCCTCCATCTGCCAGCACACGCGTCCTCTACGCCTTGCCCAAGTCAACCTCGCGGGCCTCCTGCGCGTCCCCGCCCCATCCCCCCCCCAGGACCCTCCCTTCCGGCGACCCAACGCCCCGGCGGCGGAGGGATCCTGGACACACTCACGCGCCACACGCAGCCCGCGCGCTGATTGGCTGGCAGAGGACTGGGCCCACATCGGCCCAGACCACCGCGTCGCGCAAGATCGGCCTGAGCGCCAACCAATCGCGACGCGTTCCGGTTCACAGGCCGCACCTCTCAGCCAATCCTGAGGGAGAGCCGGAAAAGGGCGTGCCCAATCGGAGCTGAGCAATGGGGCGGAGTCACCCTCCTACCAAGGCAGAGGCCGGGCGCTGTCACCTTGACAACCTGACCGGCCCTGGCGAGTCGGTCCTGCCTCACCGGCTCTGTTCCCCAACCCGAAACCACAGAGACTCCAGGACGTCACGACCTCTAGCTTGACATCTGCGCTGCCGAAGGGGAGTTGTGCCTAAAGTGCCTGGGGGATGTTTATTCTTCCGTGTGTGTATTCAAATACGCAGATGAACTCCTAGGATGAGTGCGTTGGGGAATGGGAGGGAACCGCACTAAGCCCAGTGGGAGAAAGTGAGCACGTTTGCAAGCTGAGTTAGTAATTAATGCCCTGAGATAATAAAAGGGCCACAGAATAGTGGCTGGGGCTGCTTTTGATAGATAGGATGGTCTGAGTTAAATTTGGGCTCTCTTGGCCCGGTGCGGTGGCTCATCTGAGGTCAGGAGTTCGAGACCAGCCTGGCCAACACGGTGAAACCCGTCTTTACTGAAAATACAAAAAATTAGCTGGGCGTGGTGTCGGGCACCTGTAATCCCAGCTACTCGAGAGGCTGAGGCAGGAGGAGAATCGCTTGAACCCGGGAGGCGGACGTTGTAGTGAGCTGAGATCGTGCCATTGCATTCCAGCCTAGGCAACAAAAGTCGAAACTCCATCTCGAAAAATAAATAAATAAATATAAAATTGGGCTCTCTTGCATATACCTTGTGGTCAGTGGCAGGTGGCATTTCCCCACCATCCCCTCTACGTGGCTATGGGGTGAGCAGAGGCAGGGAACGCCAGGCTGAATCCCCACAAACCCAGAAGGGAGATATTTTTGTAGGGCAAAGACTAAATGCCATGTCTTCCTCCCTCTCCCTTTTCCAATGGGTCCAAACCAAATTTCTTATTACCCCTCCTAAACACAAAATGGATATGGGTAACTATCAGCTTGCCTCTTTAGGGCAGGGCCTGGATATATCCGTTGTGATTTGCCTGTTACTTAGGTTGGGCCACCTTGGGGTGAGATCTGATGAGCTGAGGAACCTTAGGAACAGACATGGTGACTAGTCAGATCTCATGACACCCATGAGCCAGGCAGGCATTTCGAGGCGGCATTGCATCTTGGAGCGTTTACATCCCTTCACTACAGTGTGCCCCAACTCCCCTGGGATAAAACCACAGAAAAATGACCACTTTTCCTTGTAGAAGTTTAGTCTTTCAATCTGTCCAGAGCACTTCTTCTCTAAGCACCCAACCCAACTCAACTATCCACCCAAACTCAGAAGATTAAAAAGAGGGCCGGGCCTCTAAAATTCTTTTTTGTTGTTGTTTTTTAACTATAAGAAAAAAGTAGGCCAGGCCTATAATCACGCCTATAATCCCAGCACTTTGGGAGGCCAAGGTGTGCAGGTCACCTGAGGTCAGGAGTTCAACATCAGCCTGGCCAACATGGTGAAACGCCGTCTTTACTAAAAATACAAAAATTAGCCGGATGTGGTGGCATGCGCCTATAATCCCAGCTACTCGGGAGGCTGAAGCAGGAGAATCACTTGAACCCAGAAGGCGGAGGTTGCAGTGAGTCAAGAGTGCGCCACTGCACTGCAGCCTGGGCAACAAAGCAAGACTCAGTCTCAAAAAAAAAAAAAGTAAATATCAAGGTTATATAAAAAGGACTGGGTGCGGTGGCTCTCGCCTGTAATCCCAGCACTTTGGGAGGCTGAGGCAGGCGGATCATGAGGTCAGGAGATCGAGACCATCCTGGCTGACACGGTGAAACCCCGTCTCTACCAAAAATACAAAAATTAGCTGGGCATGGTGGTGGGTGCCTGTAGTCCTAGCTACTTGGGAGGCTGAGACAGGAGACTGGTGTGAACCTGGGAGGCAGAGCTTGCAGTGAGCCGAGATAGCGCCACTGCACTCCAGCCTGGGCAACAGGGCGAGACTTCGTCTCAAAAAATAATAATAATAAATTAAATACATGTAAAAACACGTATGTGTGACTGATAATGCTAAAGTCGAATGACGGAGGAAAAGGATACTATAATCATATAACTCTAGAAATGAAAAGATAATTTAGCCTGAGCTCACAGATTCCAGTTCTGGTAGTGCTTCATACAGATCCATTTCCTTTTCTATTATTTTCCCCAGTTCTGTTCTTTTAAACATTTTCTTTTCTCTTTTTTTTTTTTCAAGACGGAGTCTCACACTGTTGCCCAGGCTGGAGAGCAGTGGTGTGATCTCAGCTCACTGCAACCTCTGCCTCCCAAATTCAAGCTGTTCTCTTGCCTCAGCTTCCCAAGTAGATGGGACTACAGGCATGCACGAGACCCAGCTAATTTTTGTATTTTGAATACAGACAGGGTTTCACTATGTTGGCCAGTCTGGTCTCAAACTCCTGACCTCGTGATCCGCCCACCTAGGCCTCCCAAAGTGCTAGGATTACAGGCGTGAGCCACCGCATCCGGCCTCTTTTAAACATTTTTCTAAACATTTTTCTAAACATACAGATATGTATAGCATATTTATGTGTCAGTTATATATAGATTCTCAGCTTTCTAAAATCAGTTTTTTGTGTTTTTTTTTTTTTTTTTTTTTTTTGAGATGGAGTCTTGCTCTTACCGCCCAGGCTGGCGTGCAATGGCGCAATCTTGGCTCACTTCAACCTCCACCTCCTGGGATCAAGTGATTCTCCTGCCTCAGCCTCCCGAGTAGCTGGGATTATAGGCACCTGCCACAACACCCAGCTAATTTTTGTATTTTTAGTAGAGACGGGGTTTCACCATGTTGGCCAGGCTGGTCTCGATTTCCTGACCTCATGATCCGCCCAACTCGGCCTCCCAAAGTTCCAGGATTACAGGTGTGAGCCACCGAGTTCAGCCAAATCAGATCTTTTTAATGATGGTATTATTTTTCAACCGACCCTTAAACAGAGACCTGCAACCACTGAACTAAAACCCTTTGAGAAAAATTTTGACGCAGAAAAATAAATGTAAGAAAGGAGATAATTTATTGTCATAATGTAGGGCAAATTGTAGGCACTCAATATTTAGTTATTGACAGATGCATTTTTCCACATAAGTCTGACAGGTCACAAGGGTGGGGAGGCAGTGAGGGAGAAAACATCATCTCAGCATTGATTGGGGCCTTTCTGACTTTTATCTGGACGTGAACAGGTTTGATCACTTCATCCCTTCTAAAGGTTCCATTTCTTACTCAAAGTGGTTGACCCTTAGATGCCAATTTTACACTCTTATGTGATAAGTTCTTTGCAGTGGTTTTTTAAGCTAGTTCTGCTAATTTTCATTTTCACAGGCTGCACTTTGCATTTTCCCAAACCTTATGTTTTATGATTTAATCAATATCCAATCCATAGCCACCCTCTGATATTAAAGTCAGGTATAGATATAAGAATGAGAAAAATTTTTAATTCACCAGTGATTGGAAGTAACTGGCATTATGTCTTTAGTAATTATAAGGACGAATGGCTAAGGATGACTGTTTTGAATATTAAATACAATAAGTTGAAACTTTATTATAAAATATCTTGTCTGGCCAGGTGCACTGTGGCTCACACCTGTAATCCCCAGAGCTTTGGGAGGCTGAGGTCGGAGGATCACTTGAGCCCAGGAGTTCAAGATCAGCCTGAGACATAGCAAGACTCTGTCTCTGCAATAAATTTTAAAGTATATTTTAAAATTATCTTCCTGGGCCAGGTGTGGTGGCTCATACCTGTAATCCCACCACTTTGGGAGACCGAGGCAGACAGATCACTTGAGGCCAGGAGTTCAAGACCAGCCTGGCCAACATGGTGAAACCCCGTCTCTACTAAAAATACAAAAAATTAACTGGGTGTGGTGGCACACGCCTGTATCCCAGCTACTTGGGAGGCTGAGGTGGAAGAATAGCTTGAACCCAGGAGGCAGAGTTTACAGTGCACCAAGATCACAGCACTGCACTCCAGTCCGGGCAGCGGAACAAGACCCTGCCTCAAAAAAAAAAAAAAAAAAATTTGGCCGGGCACAGTGGCTCACGCCTGTAATCTCAGCACTTTGGGAGGCTGAAGTGGGGGCGGATCATGAAGTCAGGAGTTCGAGACCAGCCTGACCAATATGGCGAAACACCATCTCTACAAAAAATGCAAAACTTAGCTGGCATGGTGGTGTGCGCCTGTAATCCCAGCTACTCAGGAGGCTGAGGCAGGAGAATCACTTGAACCCGGGAGGCAGGGGTTGCAGTGAGCCAAGACTGCGCCACTGCACTCCAGCCTGGGCAATAAAGCGAGACACCATCTCAAAAAAAATAAATAAATAAAAATAAAAACAAAAAAGACCCTGTCTCAAAAGAGTTCTAATCCCAGAATCGTCAATATGTGTTCAAGACTTGTAAACTTGCCTGTTGTGAGAAAATAATCTTTTTTTCCTTTTTTTTTTTGAGACAGTGTCTTGCTGTGTCACCCAGGCTGGAGTGCAATGGTGTGATCACAGCTCACTGCAGCCTCTGCCTTCTGGGATCAAGGGTTCCTCCCACCTCAGCCTCCCAAGTAGCTGGGACCACAGGTGTGCACCACCATGCCTGGCTAATTTTTATCTTTTTATTTTTTGAGATGGAACCTTGCTCTTTCTTTTCTTTTTTTTTTTTTAGACAGAGTCTCACTCTGCCACCACGCCTGGCTAATTTTTTGTATTTTTAGTAGAGACAAGGTTTCACCATGTTAGCCAGGATGGTCTCAATCTCCTGACCTCGTGATCCGCCCGCCTTGGCCTCCCAAAGTGCTGGGATTACAGGCAGGAGCCACCGCGCTGG